CTCTGAGAAAGCATGAGTTGCTACAATTTGATGGACTGGACTTTTGCTTATGGATGCAGTTCCTAAAAATTCTAATCAGAATGAAATACTCTTCAAATCAAGGAACATGCCTGTCTTCTCAGTGTACTGGACTGGTTGGTATGGGCAATTTAGACATTACTATTGCTATAAGTGACTGACTTGACACATTTCCATGGGTGTACTTGGTTTTAGAAAGAAGGGTTAAGGGAAAACCCCCACTGATGGGTTTTGCTGTTTTCCAGATGTGTCTGGTGAAAGGGGGTACAGAATGATGATGATGAGATTATATTATTTCAATTGTAGTATGAGTTGTGCTGGTCAGAACTGTAATTGTAGAAGACATGTAGCTAAAAGGAGAGAACAGTTATTTTTCATTTCAGGAATGGACAATCCCAGGACATCAAAAAGGAAGGGAATGAGTGGAATTTTGGATCCCTACCTGAGGAAGTAGGGACAGCAGAGTTGGTGGCAGAAGTGGTAACATGGAGCAGCTATGGACTCTAGGCCCACGGACTGAATGAGGCTGTGTACCTATGGGCTGGAGATTAGCTTTTGGACATTTATGTGTGCATCAAGTATTGATGATTTGTTCATTCACGATATATAAGGAGAAAATGGGGCCAGTGTGTTTTCGGTTGTACATGTTTTAGTTATATCAGGCATAAGTATGATGCAACCTAATATAGGCATAGTTAGCTGTACTCATAGGGACATTGAGACATGATCCACTTTATAAAGAAAAGAGCCAACAGATACTAAATAGATTTTAGAAGTATAAATGAAGATGAACCAATGTATGTAAAGAGAAAAGGGGAGAATTTGTGAGAAATAGCTGCTGGGGTGATGCATCTTCAGAATCAAGGATTTCTTAGGGGTAGCAGGTTGGCATGACAAAAGGGAACTCTGAGAAGAGGAAGAGACTAGTTTGACCTACTTTTTTGTTGGTTAAGTGCCCTCAAGTTGCTACTGACCTATAACAACCTTATGCACAGCAGAACGAAACACTGCCCAACCTCACTACTGTTGCCACGCTTGAGTCCATCGATGCTGTCACTTGGCCAATCCATCTTGTTGGGGGTCTTCCTCTTTTTCTCTGACCCTCCACCTTACCAAACATGATACCCTTCTCGAGCAACTGGTCCCTCCTGACAATATATCAGAAGTATGAGAGACAAAGTTTGGCCATCTTTGCCTCCAAGGGGCACTCTGGCTGCACTTCTTCCAAAACAGATCTGTTGGTTCTATGGGCAGCCCATGGCACTTTCAATATTCTCCTCCAATACCATAACTCAAAAGCATCAATTCTTCTATGATCTTCCTTATTCACTGTCCAGCTTTCACATCCATATGAGGTTACTAAAAATACCATGGCTTGGTTCAGGCACACCACAGTCCTCAAGCTGACATCTTTGCTCTTCAACTCTTGAAAAAGGTCTAGTGCAACAGATTTGTCTAATGCTATGTGTATCGTTTGATTTCTTGACTGCTGCTTCCGTGAGTGTTGATAGTTGATCTAAGAAGAATGAAGTCCTTGACAACTTCAATCTTTTCTCCAGTGATAAGAATGTTGTTTATCGGTCCAGTTGTGAGGATTTTTGTTTTCTTTACATTGAGATGCAATCCATACCGAAGGCTGTGCTCTTTGATCTTCATCAGTATATGTTTTAAGTGCTCTTCACTTTTAGCAAGCAAGGTTGTATCACCTGCATACCGCAGGTTGTTAATGAATCTTCCTCCAATCCTGATGCCATGTTTTTCTTCATATAAACCAGCTTCCCAGATTATTTGCTCAACATACAGGTTGAATAAGACTCTTTTAAAATAAGAATACACCCATCAAGGAAGTAGGGGAAGTTCATAGGGAGGGGGTGAAACTAACTTTAAATGAGAATGCTCTCTGTAGGGACTAGTAGATGCCATTCAGGAAAGACTGTAAACTCCAAAGTACCCAGTAAAGGGGAAATGGAGGAGGGGCTTTTTCCAAGTTAGGTTCATAAAACTCTTTGTCAAATGGCCATGCAATAAATACATCTACCCATGTCTACAGAGCTGGGTGGCTGATTTTGCAAAACCAAATAAAGAAAAGTTCATTCTGACTGGAAGAAAAAAAAAAGAAAACACTGAGAGATAGGTAAGTCACCATGAAGGGTCGTAGAGTGGTACTATAGGATAATAAACACTGGACTGCTAACCAAGAGGTCAGTGGTCCAAACCCACCACCTGCTCCTCAGAAACCCTACACAGGGTCGCTGTGAGTGGAACCAACTCAATAGCTATTAATAACAAGGCACCATTAGTCAGCATGCAAGGAGAAGGCCTGGTCAACAGTACTCTGAGCTCCTTGCAAATCCCAGAATTGCATATGAAACAAGCAGGGACCACCGTGTTACATGGAGCAGGCACCTGACAGGTTAAGGAGGATGACGAAGTTATGGGATAACTGTGTGGGAAGCATTAACATAGGCTGAAACAAGTGTCCTCATGGAAAATTACAAAAAAAACAAAACATCTAAAATAATAGGTCAAGGGCAAGACTGCAGAGTAAGCAGACATATTGAGTCAACCCTCTGCAACAAAAACATGGTAAAACAGACACATATGGTGACCCTGGAACCCTGAGTATCAGAGGATAAGACAGAGAGGTGGATTGAGTGCAAGTGAAAGAGGATGCTGAACAGAAGCTGTGACAAAAAAGAAAAACAGGAAGACTGTGGGCTGGCATGGAGTAGAGTGACTGTCTAGAGATTTTGCAAGCAACTGTCGATACAGCAAAGAGTTCAGGTGGTATAATGGGTTACATGTTGGGCTGCTAACCAACCAGCTGCTCCATGGGGAAAAGATGAGACTTTCTGCTCCTGTAAAGATTTACAGTCTAGGAAATCCTCCTGTACAGGGATGCTAAGAGTCAGAACTGACTCAATGGCAGACAACCGCCAACCACTGTCAATACAGAGGACAAGGATGGAGGTCAGTGGCAGGGGGTGTTACTTCCTGGTAGATGGGGACATAGCCAATCCCTGTCCTCACCAACCCAGCAGCCAGCAAAACCCTGTCCTGTGCAGCCTCTGCTCTGATGGGGGTTAAATGCCAGGCATAGTGCCCTGTTTCTGGAGGTGCACGAACCCACCCTGTAAAAACAAAATTAAGAGCATTCACACTTCCAGTCTCTACCACATCCACCATGAGATAGATAGTGTGTACCGAAGAATACACCAAATTTCAGATTACACAAAAAACAAGACAGTGTGCCTCAAATAAGTCACCAAAATACAGAGTAAGAAAATATAATGATAAGGAATTTTAAAGTCTGCTAATTAGGCAGCTTCAGCAAATTGAAAGAAAGATCAAGAAAACTACTGATAAAATCAAAGAAAACATAGATAAAAAATATGGGAAGAAATTGACAAAATAATTGAAAAAATAGGAACTGTATAAAATTAACCCTAAGACTTCAGATACAGATAGTACACTGGAAGGGCAAAAAAACAGAACTGAATCAATGGAAAGCTAAATTTCTGAGCTTGGAAAAAAAAAAAAAAATCTCTAGAGAAACAATCAGGAAACAGAACAAAAAAAATCAAAAAGACTAAGATTTATGTCAGACACTATCTAGAAGGATTAACTAATGTATAATAGGAATTCCAGAACAGGAAGAGACAAAAAAAAAAAAAAAAAAAAAAAACCCATAGAGAATATTGTCCAAGAATTGTTGGAAAAAACTTCCTTAGCATCATGAAAATGAGATGATAATCATTCAAGAAGTTGGAAAATATCCAAACAGGATAAACTCTAAAAGAAAAACAGTAATGCAAATTATAATCAAATTTTTCAAAACCAAAGACAAGGAAATAATCCTTAGAGCAGCTCAGAAAAAATGCAAAGTTACCTACAAAGGAGAACTTACAATAAGGCTAAATTCTGATTTCTCAGAAGAAATCATGCAGGCAAAAGGACATGGGATGACACATAAAATTCTGAAAGAAAAAATTGCCAACCAAGAATAATATATCCAGCAAAACTCTCCATCAAATACGACAGTGACAGGAGGTCATTTCAAACAAACAGAAATGAAAATTGCTTGTAAAACCCAGACCAACCTTACCAAAAAATACTAAAGGGAGTTCATTAGATGGAGAAACAAAAACAGCTGACAACAACCTGAGATTAACATACAAAACAATATCACCTAGACACAAGCCAGATAGAGAAGTATGCAAAATAAGACAGAACTACAAGACTGAAAAGGGAGAGCAAAAGACACAATTACAATAACAACAAAAAACAAAATAAAAAGAGTGAATAATCTAGTTACAGAACTTCCAAGTGAGGAGGAAATCAAACAGATTTCAAGAAAAAGTAAAATTAAAAACAAACCAAACTGTAACCCTAAAAGCTACAGCAAGCCTTACTATTAGTCCTAGCTCAACCCTCACTACCAATACTAACCCTAGTCCTAACTACATCCTAACAATAAAGAAGTCCTAGGCCTAGCCAAGACCTAGTCATAGTTCCAACCCTAACCCTCACTCCTAGTCACCATACCCACCCTCAAAATAATAATAACAATAATAATAATAAACAATTGATATTTACCTTTAGGGCAGAGTTATAAAATATTCTGGCCACTTTGGCATAATCTGAGTTCTTTAGGCTAACACTTCCTCCAGGGAAAAGGATCCTGAAAAACATCAAATAGAGTGCTTTTCCCCACAGAAATGGACTGCAAAGCACATGGTCAGCAGTTCAAGCCCACCAGTCATTTCATGGGAAAAAGATGAGGCTTTCTGTACTGGCAAAGGTGTGCAGCCTTGGAAACCCTATATAGGGTCACTGTGAGTCGCACTGTGGGTTAATGCGCCAGACTGCAAAGTCATTTGAACTGCAAGGTCGGCGGTTCAAGCTCACCAGAAGCTCCTCGGAAACCCTATACAGGGTCGCTATGGGTCGGAATTGACTTGAAAGCACTTTAACAACAACAACAACAACAACAACAACAACAATGAGTCAAACTGTCTTCCTGGCACTTAACATACCTCCTCACCCCAATTGTAAAAACAAAAGCAAACAGAATTTACTTTAGACATTATTCTATGTATTACTTTTTGCACCTGAAAATACCACAGTGTTCACTTAACAAGTGATCCAGAGTAGCACCTATAGATAGCCTGAGTTTAAACTCCTGCAGATGTTCCTATTACAGATATATAGTCTATTTTATTTAAACAATTTCCAACTAATGGACTATTGGGTGGTTTCTAAATTTTTGATATCACAAACAATTCTGCAACATACACACTTAAAACAGATTTGTACAATAAACTTCCTTCTAAAGAATTTCCTGGATCAAAAGGAATGGTACATTTTAAAGGCCAACAGATACTGAAAAACTGGCCCCAACTAGGTTCTAGTCCTGGTGTGATGCTGTAGGATAAGCCCTGTACTGGTAAAAGATTGAGAGTTCAAATCCATCAGCTCCTTTTGGAAATCTTATCCAGGTTCACTAGAACTTCTGCTGTGGCGTTGTAGGATCAGCCCAGTGCTGAACCACAAGATTGGCAATTCAAACCCACTAGCTGCTCGTTGGAAACCTTATTAGTGTGGCTATGAGTTGGAACCGACTCAACAGCGCTTGAAACCACCCAATAGTCCATTAGTTGGAAACTGCTGTCTTTACAACAACAAGCTATCTCATTTACATTCCTATTAATTAAGCACAAGAGCACTTGTTTCATCATACTCACATCATTGTATATTAGCAAATTTTCTCATCTTTACCAATTCGGTAGTTGAAAAATGGTTTTTAATTGCTATAATTAGCTTACTTTTAATTATGAGTAACACTGAACATTTTTCATATGCTTAAAAATACTTTTCTGTGAGCTAATCAATCATGGAGTCCTCATGTGGTGCTGTGGGTTAATGTGCTGGACTGCAAAGTCAGTTTGAACTGCAAGGTTGGTAGTTCAAGCTCACCAGCCACTCCTTGGAAACCCCTTTCCAGGGTCACTATGGATCAGAACTGACTCAAAGGCACTTAACAACAACAGCTATCAATCATATCCTTTCTGGTCAAGCCAGAGGATAGAAAGTTTATCTTTTCCATTTTCTACTCAAGTTACCATCTGAAAGCCAGCCAATCAATATCATCAAACTTATAGCTGTTGCTGCTAAGTGCTGTCAAGTCAATTCTGACTCTTAGCAACCCTGTATACGGTTTCCAAGGAGTTTCTGGTGAGTTTGAGCTACCGACATTGTGGTTAGCAGTCCAGTCAAACCTAGCACTTATAAATTGCCAAAGTGACTTCAAAACATTTAAGCTAATCATTAAAAGAACTACGACTGTGTCACACATTTAAATATATACTATGTGTGTGTACATAGCATGCATACATATATCCTAATCTGCCTTCTCTACAGAACTTTTGCATCTCTCAACAAAATAATTCCTATAAATAAGAACTCAGAAAATGACCGTGCTATGCTACTTGAAGATAATTAAACAGAAACATGTAAATGATACCTATGAGAACCAGGAACTCGTTGGGACTGCCTTGTTTATCTAGGTCTTGAAGGTTTGCCGCCTTAGAGAGAGTACAGCTTAACACTTTTCTGTTCCTCTCTATTTGTGGAGACTATGTTGAGTTGTCCTTCTCTGACAGGCTCTGGCTTTCACAGACTTTAATGTACTCACATATAGTAGTTTTTACAAAAGTACAAACATACATGTATACACTGTATCACACCAATGCCACCAGCTTACCCATTAATTGATTTGAAGAGCTTCTCATATTCTTGAGTTGTAAGATCAAGCCTGAAAACAATAAAAATTGTTATAAAATATCCATTTCTATAACTTAAGGAAAATTAAAAAAATAAAGGCTCTAAATGAAGTCATCACATTAATTTTCAAAAGTCAGATGAAAAACAATTCTTAAATTCCAAGTAACGTTCTCTATCTTCCTAGAAACATTTTTTAAACTACAAAAAAGTTATATCATTATCTCTTTATTTTGTTAACTGAACAAACAGATATATCTTTTTGTGGTCTAGCGTCATCTGATACTATAAAATATGTGCTAAAAAGCAAAACATTTTAAACCATGAGCATCAATAATTTCTCCATGGGTGAAAACTGTAGCAGTCTGCTTTCCTAGAGATTTACAGCCTTAGCAACCTTATGGGGTATATATAGTTCTAATCTGTTCTACAGGGTTCCTGAGTCACAATCCACGTGATGGCAAAGGGTTTTGTTGTTGCTATTTTAACTTCTTTGCTAGGCAAGCATTATAAGAAAAGATACAGACATTAAGCACATGTTGTTGTTGTTACGAAACACTACCCAATCCTGGGCCAACCTCACTACTGTTGCCACGCTTGAGTCCATCAATGCTGCCACTTGGCCAATCCATCTCGCTGGGGATCTGCCTCTTTTTCTGTGACCCTCCATCCCACCTAACATGATATCCTTCTCCAGTGACTGGTCCCTCTTGACAACATGTCCAAAGTGTGAGAGACGAAATTTGGCCATCCTGGCCTGCAAGGAGCACTCTGGCTGCACTTCTTCCAAAACGGATCTATTGGTTCTTTTGGTAGTCCATGGCACTTTCAGTATTCTCCTCCAACACCATAACTCAAAGGCATCAATTTTTCTACAGTCTTCCTTATTCACTGTCCAGCTTTTGCATGCATATGAGGCTATTGAAAATACCATGGCTTGGATCAGGTTCACCTTAGTCCTCAGCTGACATCTTTGCTCTTCAACACTTTAAAAAGGTCTTGTGCAGCATATGCAGCAGATTTATAAGCAGATACATACTGTAAAATTGGCCCCAATTAGGCTTTAGTCCTGGTATGCCACTGTAGGATAAGCACTGGACTCGTAGCCGCAAGGTCAGCAGTTCAAACCCACCAGCTACTTTTGAAAACCCTATACAAGGTCACTATGAGTCAGAACCCACTCACCGACTCAACAGCACACAACAAAAAGCTTTATTAATATGTGTATCATAAATTCAGGCAGCTATGGCTGATAAGGGCTTCTGGTGTGGCACTGTAGGATCACCATGGGACTTCAAACCACAAGGTCAGCAGTTGAAGCCCACCAATTGCTCCTTGGAAATCCTATATGGAGTCACTATGAGCCTGAACCAACTCAAAGGCACTTCACAACAATAATAAAAGGCCTTGTGTGCATCGTTTCATTTACATCCTTTTTGCCGTGATGACAATATAACCATAAGTATAGTACTTTCCATGAGTTCTGTTGACTCTTTCCAGCAAATCATCTAACTCAAAATAGTAGTAGGAGGCAGCAGGTCAGAAGTGAGCTTACAGTCATTGTCCTGAGAGTAGAGAAGGAACCACTGGAACAGCCCAACATCCTGAGGGCTTTCCCTTTTCCTCCTCCTCCAGTTCCTAGTTTTCAACAACAAACCACAGACAGACTCACTAGGAAGCCAGACAGGCAGGTGGCTGGGGAAGTAAAAACTCAATCAGGACAGGGAAACTCTAGCTGGTGCCTATCCAGGGCCATGGACCTTCTAGGGTGATTTACATTGGATGGTCTTATCTCAAGCTGCACGTATCTTAGGAGCCCCTGGAGTATTTAGCATCTGCATTTTGTTGAGCAAAAAAACTCTGTAACTATGCTTAACCCATGTGAATCATGTGACCCTTGGAGTATAGCACTGGGTGGGTTATAAGATTTTGGAGTCCTCCTCTTGGTGCTATTCAGGACTCCTGGTATGGTGCTGTGGACTGCAAACCACAAAGTCAGCAGTTCAAACCCACCAGCTACTCCTCAAAAACCCTACAAAGGGTTGCTATGAGTCGTGACTGACTCAAAGGCACTTAACAACAACAACCTCCTACAGTGCAAAGTGGGGCAAAAGTAGCCTCCATCCTGCCCAGGCAGCCTTCATTGCCTAGGGGAGAGTCAGTTTACTATGGAGTTGTTCCTGTACTTTCCTGTCGACTTTCTGAGCATAATAAAATGGTTTTCATTTTGTCAACACTGTGCTACTGTCGTGTGTATGCAACTCAATCGGATGAGATGGACATAGCACCCACTGAGGAGTTGACGCTACTGGCCGGGGTTCTCATCCTAATAGTCTTCCGGTGGTTTGGGATCTTAGGACTGCCTCTGAGATAACCTGCATATGCAACACAGTAGCTGTGAACCCGGGGAGGGAGCTGACATGCAGCTGGAATCCTGAAGGAAAAACCTCAATTTTCAGCTAACAGGCTTGAAGTAAGGGTATCATGTGAACTACCAAGCTTGTAATTGACATCTGAAGTCTTGGGCCTACTTCACAGTCTGAAGGATGGTGTCTTTATAACTTGCGAAATCTGACCCAGTTCTAACTGGCTAGGGTTAGAGGAAGAAGTACCTCAAGGGCACTGGTATCAGAAGTAAACAGAGAAGTAGGAAGTGGAGATGAGATGTCTTTTTACTGATCCATACAGCCTATAAGAAATGACTATAGACAATAGACAAATCAATGTAGATGTGACTACTCTGCCCATGCACTAATTCTGAAGCACCCTGAAAGGGTCTCCTAACAATCACATGGAAGCAGCGATCCAAGAATCAAAAGATATATTGCATTAGGCAAATCTACCACAAAAGACTTCTTTAAAGCATTAAAGAGCAACAATGTCACTTTGAGGACTAAGGTGTGCTGGGACCAAGTCATGGTATTTTCAATCACTTCATATGCATTTGAAAGCTGGATAATGGATCAGGAAGAATGGAGAAGACCTGATGCATCTGAATTAGGGTGTTGGTGAAGAATATTGAACAGATCATGAACAGTAAGAAGGACAAACAAATCTCTCTTGGAAGAACAATCAGTTAGCTCTTTAGAAGGAGCGAATGGCAAGCTTGGATAGAGTTTGTTAGGGACTAGACCCTGGAGAAGGACATTATTCTCGGTAAAGTAGAAAATCAGTAAAAAGAGGAAGATCCTCAGTGAAATGCACTAACATAGTAGCTTCAACAATGGGCTTAAACAAGACAATGATCGTGAGCTTGGTGCGGGAACAGACACAATTTTGTTCTGTTGTTCAGAGTTACCATGAGTTGTAACTGAATCGATGGCACGTAACAACAACTACAATCACCCTATTGATGATTTTAGCCCTTTCCCCAGAGAAAATCAGTGGTATTAATTTGAGACAGTTGGCTACAATGTATAATTAAGCCACAGTGAAATGTGTTTATTCTTCAAAATGATAAATGCAAAAACAAGGAAAGAGAGTATCACACGTATTTGTGAAATTCCTGCAAGAGTTCTCCCACATTTAGCAATCTTCTGTTTCTTTAAGAAAATAAACACATAATATAACCTCTAAACCTCCCACAATAAGAAGTAGATTTATAATCAGATGGCAACAAGTTCCAACATTCCTGTCCCAAGTAAAAGGTTTAATTTTGTTTTGTTTTCGGGTGGAGGAAGCAGGTAGAATGCCTTTCCCTTTAATCAAACCATAATCCCACTGGGGAATAAAGTTTTCTTTAAATTAATGAGTAATGAGTAACAACAGTGTAGGGTGTTTCCTGTTATTGTTATTAAGTACCAAATCCTGTATAGGGTTTCCAAGAAGCGACTGGAGCATCTTACAGTTCAAATCAACCTTGCAGTCCAGTGTTTATCCTACAGCACCACACCAGGACTCCAGGGTGTTTCTTAATAAAACTAACCAATTTTGAGATATAAAACGAGCAAATTGGATGCAGAGAAGTAAGCACAAGTGGAGGAAAGATAGATGCCACATAGAACGTACCAAAGAACTTGGACACAGAGGCCGACACAAAGATTTTCCCTCAGAGCACAGAGGGAGCCTGCCCACAAAACCAGCGCCCTGGATTCAGATGTCTAGCCTGGAGGCCTGGTGTGCTTGACTGCTCACAGCAAAAATGGCAGTTCAAACCAACTCAACTGATCCTCAGAAACAGGGTCACTATTAATCGGAAACAACTCAATGGCACTTAACAAGCTGTGAGAAAACAAACTCCTGTGGTTATAGGAACACTGGGAAACTAACATACCTCAGCTGAAGATAAACTTGTATGCCAACAGTTAACATTCTCAGTGTCACTGTCGTAAATACCAATATTTTGCAAGTCATCCGCAGTTTCAAAACTCTGGTCATCCCGTTCATCTATTTGCTCTTCCTTGTACTCTTTCATCCCATTAGTCATCAAGTCCTATTCATTTTTTTTTTAAAGAACATTTACATAATGATCCTGAAACCAGAGCTTGTCACTTCACACCTAGCCAAATACAACAGGCTCTGAAGTGGCCTACCAGTCTTTGTCTCTCCTGTGTGGCACTGTAGGATAAGCACTGAACTACAATAAGACTGGCAGTTCAAACCCACCAGTCGCTCCTCAGAAACCTCACACAGGGTCACTATAAGTGAAACCTGCAATGGTAGCACTTCGCAAAAAAGCCCATCATGCCATTAGGCTATCAAGTCATCTTCCACCTGAGTGGTGTTCATCAAAGGTTGAGGTTTCAGTACACCCAGAGGTGCCTTGGAAGAAAGGTCTGGCAATCTACTTTCAAAAAATCAGTCACTGAATATGGGGCACAGCTCTACACTGACACACACGGGGTCTCAATGTGTTGGAGTCAACAGATTTGCTTTCACCGGGCCAATGGTGGTGTAGTATGGTCTCACTTTACCTGTAGGCGACCTGGGCTAGACTCCTGGCCAATGCGCCTCATGCCCACCCACTGCCCACCTGTGAGTGGAAGCTTCTGTGTTCTGCGATGCTGTATAGATCTCAGAAGAGCTTTCAGATAAGGGAAGAAAGGTCAATCAGTCCGTATTCTGAAGACTGGGTTCCAGATAAGATTTCATTTGAAAAATCAGATGTGCAACTAAAAACGTAAAGACTAATGTTCAAAAGCAAATGTTTACTTTGGGACACAGAATCTTAATATTTAAATGAAAAAGATCAAGCAAGAAGACAATCCTTATGACTCTAATTTGTAGTATAATTCTCTAAACTATAATGCTTGCATTTTGATTACTTAAACAGTACTTTGTTATAATTTTCATTAGTGAATTATTTATAAAGACAGCTTATAAATAAACAAAGAATGACTCATAATGGATTCGACTGGGAGCTGGGAGATTCCATGATACATATTAACTTGAGCTGACAATATTGATTACCTTTTTTGTTAAAAACAAAAAAACACCTCTTTTGAAATCAAAATATGAGATGAATCCATTTCTTTCTAATGGGTCATTTTATTACATAAAACAACACTGCTACATTAGTCATTTATACACTTAAAACAGAGTGTGAAAGCATTTTATAAAAAGCCACCTAAATAAACACTTCCTTGATTCCCTGTTTCCCTCCCTAATATTATGGACTGTTGTTGTTAAGTGCCATTGGGTTGGTTTCAACTCAAAGTGACCCTGTATAGGGTTTCTGAGGAACAGTTGGTGAGTTTGAACTGCTAACCTTGCAGTTCAAATGAGTTTGCGGTCCAGTGCTTACGCACACGAGGAATACAATATTATGGAATAAAACTGGCTAAATTCCGTATTCTTTAATTTTATTACTTTCATGGCATCTAATGAGGGCCACTGTTTCTGGGACAAAGGAAACTGTCATTTAGTTTTGAAGCAAATGCCCATGACATGCTTTTAATTATGTTACAGATAAACAGAGCTTCATATAGTAAACAATCTAAGGAGAGACTCTAAGCATTATGTCTTTGGCAGAAATCAAACACAGTGTTATTATAGTTAAATGATGAAGAATTAATTTGAGAGATAACGTATCGCAACTACTATATATAATGTTGGCAATATCAAACCATACCTTACTGGTACAACTCTTGCACCTGCAGACTCCAGGTATTTTACATAGGATGCAGCAATATAGTACTTCCCAGACACATTCGTCCACATAGAGGCATTTTGCATTAATATCCCTAGATAACAAAACAAAAACAAATTTAGTTTCAAGCAATTTCCTTTTTTCCTGCTCAGAAACTAAATAAAACTTATCATTGTAAAAATTTACTCTTCCAATCTCCAGAACTAAATATGAAGCATTCCTGCAAGTATACCCACATATTTTGAGAAATAGTGACACTGATCTGAGTTTTAAGTAGCTTCCCCTCTCTTGCCACATCAAGGAGGGCAACTAAATTTTGAAAGCAAGTTCACACAGCCCCCAGCACCCTTCCTGTAACCTACCCACACCAATGCTGACTCATGACTACCCAGAATGACACAGTAGAAATGCTCCCACAGAGGTTCCAAGGCTGGGCATCGATAGGACACAGACTTTCACACCTTTTCCTCTGGAGTGGATTCAAACCATCAGCCTTCTGGCTAGCAGCTGACTGCTTTTAACCACTGTCCTCTCAAGGTTCTGATCTCAGAGTGTTGTTGTTAAGGTCATCCAGTCAGTTCCAATTCATAGCGACCCTGTGTAGTTTTCTAGGAGAGGCTGAAGGGTTTGAACTGCTGACCCTGTGGTTGGCAGTCCAGTTTTTATCCAAATCTTTAAATCTGGGCAGAGACTGCTCCTTTCCACTCATATCCAAAGATACATTATTTCCTTGACACCAAAAGAGTAGAAATATCTTCCATCCACATCTCCCCAAAAATCATCACCACCACCTAACCCAAGAAACCAACATCTTGTCTCCCAGACCACTATAACAGCTTTCTAAAAGTCTTCTACATCTATTCTTAACCTCTCCCCCAGCTCCAACCATTGCTCCACATGGAAACAAACTAATCATATCTCCAGTCTTTCAATCATCCAATACCTGCTATCTTCACTGAGGAAAATGAAGTTTGGCTGAGGAAACAAGAATTCAGGAATGTCACAGGAAATGCTTTGCAGCCACCAGCCACCTTATGTGTTTGGCACTATACTAGGGATATGGGTGAACAAAACACACAATAGGCCTTGCCTGTGGGCAGCTGAGATGGCAGGGAGAAAGCATACACAATAAACAAGATAAAAATGTAAACTATATGTATGATGACTGGTAGAAGAGCTAATGTGAAAAAGTACAGGAAGTGGGAAAGAGAGGTCTCTAAAACAGAGTAACCAGGAAAGACCTCCATGAGAAGGCAGAAATGAATTAAAGACATAAGAATGAGTATGCCTTATGAAAGTATCTTGAGAAAGAGTGGTCCTGAGCAAGAACAGCAAGTGCAAAAGCCCTCCTGAGTTGGGTGGCCATTACATAGCAAGTTCATCTGACAGAACCCAATAAACCAAGGGAGAAAATAATAGAAACAGAGATCAGGGCAATAATGGGTCAGCAGGGGTCATACTTCAATGGGTCTTCAAACACAAACAGCTAAGACCAGAAATGCTCTGCTCACTACCTCTCTGACCTCCTCTCCTAGCTCTTCAGCTGTGCTCAATCAGTCACACTGACCTTTTAGGGGCTCAGGATCCTGGCATATGTTCTTCCCTCCTCCCAGAATACCTCTGACCCTCTCCAAAGGTCTTGTTACTTCTACTCATCCTTTGTCCCAGCTTAATCATTTGTTTCATGGAAACCTTCCGTAAGCAAGCATGAAGTCATTATACTTTTCAGAGTAGCACATACCTCTTCTTCATAACAATCATTTTACCGTGGGGATTCAATTTGATTTACTAATAAGTCTGGTTTGGGTCAGCACTGAAACCCCATCCTCAGTACAGGCCAGGCATCCAGTACACAATCAAAACATGGAAGTGAACCTGTGTCTCAATACTTCATCACTGAAACACGCATCACACTTACAAGGACTCCTCCTGACACAAGGGTCTGTTGTCTCTGTTGTTCATTTCTATATTCCCAGCTTCTTACACTATCTGGAATTTATCAGGCACTCAGTTAACATTTGTAGAATATCAACATGTATGTATGACTAAGAAATTCATTTGGGCTTACAAATATTATTTAATAAAATGTAAGCAATCAGAAGGAATAACATGATACTGTTTAATAAGGACGCTTTTCTTTTCTTTAGTAGGAAAGATCATCTTCACTGAGGAAAATGAAGTTTGGCTGAGGAAAAAAGGATTCAGGAATGCCACCGGAAATGCTTTGCTGCCACCAGCCACAGCATGGACCTGGGCTACAGGTAGGGGTGAGGTGCCACACACACTCAGAAATAACTTGGGGCATCATGGGAACACAAGATATAAGAAATTATATAAGCACGCTGTAGCAGTTAAGTTCCAGCTAGACTACCCTATCCTCTGCCCTACACATACTCACTTTTCCCATTCCTGCGGAAACATTAAGTCTATCATCTACTCTTCATCCTTCAAAATCTGACTAAAGTCCTACCCACACTTTAAGGAACATCTTGTGGTTCCTTTGTCTTTGAATCCTCTGCACTTCCTCAAGCTAGGTCTTACACGTTGCAGGTGTCAGTTAGCTATTTTGCCTTATTGACTGAACTAAAATGAAAGAATCAATCTGCCACTGAGTCAATCTTGACTCATAGTGACCCTGTTTTCATAGCAACTCTATATAGGGTTTGTTTCTCCTGCGTAGAGAGAGGCTGGTGGGTTTGAACCACCAATCTTACAGTTAGCAGCCCAATGCCTAGTCCACAATGCCACATCCACAATGCCACAAGGGCTCCTTGGGAAGACCAAAAAGCACACATCCTTTTGCTACATTTGAATCAGGGCTATCCCTGATTTTAAGAAAGAGAAAAAAAATCCTTTCTCTCCTTTTCTCCTTCTCTCTGGACCCACATTTTCCAAGATAATACATAAAATTCCTATTTTGATGTATGCTTTGTTTTCTTTTCTTTAAAAACAAAAACCAGCTTTTGGAGAATCTAATCATAAAGGTATTTCACATTCCAAATACTTACACAGAAAACTAGGCTAAACCAAACATGTTTGCCTACAAGTTGATTCCAACTCATAGTCGCCCTATAGGGCATTGTAGAAATGCTCCATTGGGTTTCTGAGATTGTAAATCTTCACAGGTAGCCTTATCTTTTCTCAGGAGCAGCTGGTGGGTTTGAATTGCTCACCTTACAGCTAGCAAAACACAGAATCACCATTTGAAAGTTGGGCACTACTCATACTTATGAAAAATACTCCTCTACTTTTGGTTTAATTACAAAATGCCTGCTGGTCTTTAAGGAAGTGAAAATAAATAGTATGAATGACATAAACCTACAGATAAATAAAACTGATTTTACATTCCCACACATAAATTCAGAAGTGGCTCTATAGGATAAGCACTGGACTGTGAACCACAAGGTCGGCGGTTCAAGCTCAGAGGGAGAAGGATGAGGGTTTCTGCTCCCACAAAGATTTATGGCCTCTCAAACCATACATACATACAGAGGTTCACTATGAGTGGGAATTGATTGGATGGCACAACAACAACACATGTTATTACTCTTGGTAAATTTTAATCCCAAGGTAATTTATACCACGTAACTTTCCTCTATCCCGTGTTTCTAATGCTGTAAAAAATCAGTAAAAAAAAAAAATTCTTTGTGAAAAACGACATGCTTCACATTTACACCAAATAGAATTTATATTAGGATCATACATACCACTGCTGCCCTCCAGTGGTAAAGATAACAAAGTTTAAATAGACCATAATTTCTTTATTATTTAGTCGATTCAAGTTTTGTATGTATGAGTCGGGCTGCTAATCTCAATGTCAGCAGTTCGAAACTGCCTGTGGTTCTGCGGGCGAAAGATGAGGCTTTCTGCTCCCGTAAAGATTTACAGCCTCGGAAGCCTGTACAGGGTAGCTATGAGTCGGAAGCGACTACAGGGCACACCACCACCACCACTACACAATGCCTTCTATCTTCAAATGCGCCCTCAACCATCTAAAGTGCAATATATACAATCCACGTACAGCACTGTTTAATTTGTAGAAACAACTATCTATGTATAAAAAGAAAAACAGAATTCCTTAGGATTCTTCCTCCCTTAAAACTTGAAGAACCACATTAAGTGAAATCGACAAGGCAACTAGTTGGTATATTTCAGTATGAGCTTAATGGTGCCCGATCTCTAAATGAAGACACAATCAAAACCCCATAGTACTTGGGAGGTTGTAAAAGGCGCGTACAAGTTCTAGATCAAGTGATGTCAAGCATCCCCTGGAACCCCACCCCCATACCCTTATTACCAATGATGGGCTTCTCGGTGGTGCCGCTGGAGGATGCGGATAGCACGAGACTCGTCATTCCACAGAGAAGCAGGCCCAGCACGCTCAGCAACTGACCCGCGTTCGCCATCACGTTCTCAGCTTCTCCTGCAGCCACCCGCCACCTTTCAAACACTCCGCGCAAGGACAGCGGACGCAGTGTGACACGGGGTGGGTGCAGAGAGTAGCGAACGGGTTGGACAGAAGCGGAGCTCAGTCGTGCGAGACTATAGGAAATTCTCATTGCGCATGCGCTGTGACCACGGGGCGGAGTCGGGCGGTAGCGGAGGCGTTGTGGCGGACCTTGTTCCATCGCTCCCTCGGCGCTTTACGACCTCCGCCCCCTTGAGGCCAATAGTCGCCCCAGCAAAGACCCGGGAAACGGCTGGGTTGAGACTAAGGAAGGCTCTGCGTTCAACAAGGCAAGAAGGGAGGCTGGGATCGATTCTAGAAGACTCCTGAGAACTTTGCGCTAAGTGTCGCTCTTGGTGAAAAGGCCAGGACCTTCTCTTTCAGAACGCTGACGGCCGAGTTTGACACGCTGACGTTCTGAGTGAGGACCAGATTCTCCGCGGAAGGGCTTTACACAGTAAGCCCGTTTTTTCCGAGTCTAGGCATCTGAGGAGTAAAGGAAGCAGACGGAGGACGAGCATCACCTCACCTCAAATCTGGCTCAAGGAGGGGCCGACTCCTGGCTCCCCTGCAAAGCAGCAAATCCAGAGCAAACCCCATAATGATACCTGCCTGTGATAAACTCCACTGGGAAAGCCACCACAGATGTCTGTCCTGTAGACAGGGCCAGGCATGAGGGGTTCTGGTCCGGAATGAGGGTTCTAGCCACTCAGCTGCTGAGACAGAAGGCTTTCTGCTCCCTTGAAGATTGACCTCCTTGAAACTCTGTGGTTTCGAGGGGTTTGGGGAAGGGGGTCTCTTTTTTGGTTGGTTCCTATTCATTAAAAGTAGTTTAATGTTTCTATTTCAAACTTTAAAATTAGAGATTTCGGATCATTAGACTCGAAAATAATTAGAAAAGTAGATAGAATACAACTTTGTATTACTGTCTCTAAAAAGGTGCAATATCTTTCAATTCCATTTTTCCACGAACTTTTTGAAACCCCTTGTATATATGCATATGCTAGTACATTACCTCGACTCAGTTCCGACTCAGCGACCCTGTATAGGGTTTCCAAGGAGCAACTGGTGAGTTTGAACTACTGACTTTATGGTTAGCAGTCCACTGTTTATCCTACAGCACCACACCAGGCTTGGAAATTATCACCTCTATGGCCCAAGTTAAATTCAGTGCCATCGAGTCTAGTCGGTACCAACTCATAGCCACCTTATGCACAACAGAACGAAACACTGCCCGATCCTGGGCCAACTTCACTAAAGTTGCCACGCTTGAGTTCATCGATGCTGCCACTTGGCCAATCCATCTCGTTGGGGGGTCTTACTCTTTTTCTCTGACCCTCCACCTTACCAAACATGATATCCTTCTCCAGCGACTGGTCCCTCCTGACAATATGTCCAAAGTATGAAAGACGAAGTTTGGTCATCTTGGCCTCCAAGGAGCACTCTGGCTGCACTTCTTCCAAAACGGATCTATTGGTTCTTTTGGCAGTCCATGGCACTTTCAATATTCTCCTCCAACACCATAACTCAAAAGCATGTATTATGGGCATGATACAAGTTATAAATATGTATATCTAATATCTAGATAAGAATCCTATACAGGGTCAGTATGAATCGGAACAGATTGGATGGCACTTAGTAGCAGCATATCTAGAAGACAGATGGATAGATAGATAGATAGATAGATAGATAGATAGATAGATAGATAGATAGATAGATAGATAAGCATAGAGTTTAGCTGAAACTACTGAACAAAGAAAATCAGTGAGGTTTTTCACAATTACCTGACTTTGGACTAACAAAAAAAGTATTGAAAAATATAAAGCAGATGGTTAGATTTCCCCCCTGGGGCATGTGATGGTTTTAGGAATTATGCTGAAGAGTGGGGTGTCTAGGAAGCAAAAGCAAAATCAAGCTTCCAAATTTTGTGCAGAGTGAGGGAACCTGCAACTAACATACAACCAAGTCTTTTTAAGATGTTTTCCAAATTTTAACCTGGAAAATGTAGATGACTAAAGAACTAATTGGAGTCCTGGTGTGGAGCTGGGGTTAACACACTGGATTTCAAAGTCGGTTTGAACCACAAGGTGGGCAGTTCAAACTCACCAACTGCTCCTCATCCTATACAGGGTGGCTATGGGGTCAAACCTAACTCAATGGCACCTAATAGCAATAACAACAAAGAATTAAGTTAAAACCTGTAAAAAGAAGAATTTTCAGTGCCAAAGAAAAAGAATGCCAGGATATTAATCAAAAGCCCAAGAGTACAACACAAGGAATACTGTTTTCCCAAGAATTTCAGAACAAGCAGATGTTCTTCAGATTCCACACAAACCAGAACAAGAGTCACTAGGAGTCCACTATTTAATCCTCTCCATATACCCTCTTTTAAGGAGCTCTGGTAGCGTAGTGGTTACGAATCGGGCTGCGAACCTTAAGGTAAGCGGTTTGAAACTACCAGTCGCTCCGCGGGAGAAAGATGAGACTTTCTACTCCCGTAAAGATTTACACCCTTGGAAACCCTGTACAGGGTCGCTATGGGTCGGACCCGACTCGATGGCACTTAACAACAACATATACCCTCTTTGCATCTTTCTCCTTTTATTTTTTCTATCACCAATTAGTGTTGTGTTTTCTATCACTCATCCTGAGGAAAAGGGATGAATCAGAGGTGGATGAATCAGAGGTGGATGATTCCTTACTAAATCAACCCTGCCCTAATTCAGCTCAAGGTCTGATTGGATTGGTTAGCCTTCCACCCCATCTGACAAAAGGAAAGAATACTTATACCTGGTGGAAAATATTACCTGTAGTCTCTGCACTTAAACACACACCCATCATTCAATAAATTTTTACTAGACATACAAAGAAGTCAGCAGAATTTATAGCAGTAATATAAAAAGGAAAATGAAAGTTAAGACAGAGATGGTCCTGAAACAAGCTATCGGACAAGGTTTTTATTTTAAGTAAAATACGAATAATTTTAAATTTGAAAGTTGAGCAGAATGGGTACAGATTTGCAGCAGGGTATTGGAATCTAAAAAATAGTATCAAATGGGGCCTCAAGAATAAAAAAATTCAACATATGAAAGTCAGAGATCATTAGATAAGGTAAAAGCAAACTAGACACTATTAGAAGATTGTTGTTGTTGTTGTTGTGTGCCGTGGAGTCAGTTCTGACTTATAGCAACCCTGTACATGGTTTCCAAGGCTGTAAATCCTTATGAGAGCAGAACGCCTCATCTTTCTCCTGTGGAAAAGCTGGTAGCTTCAACTGCTGACTTTGTAGTTCGCAGCCCAATTCGTAACCATTACGCTACCAGAGCCTCTATTGACTACAAGATAGTCAATAGAAATTATCCAAACTGAAAACACAGAGAGGGGAAAAAAATGAAAGCACAGAACAGAGCAGGTGAAACATATGAGACAAAATGAAAAGTTATAATGTACATGTAATTGGAATTTCAGAGGACAAAGAGAGAGACAAGGAGAAGTAACATTTAGAGACATGAATAACAAAATTTCAAAATTAATCAAAACTAACCCACAGATTCAAAACTTTAGCAATCCTCTAGCATGAAAAATACAAAGAAAACTACACAGGTTTAACTATGCTAAATTATTAAAAACTAAACAATTATTAAATGTTGTCAGAGGGTAGGAAAAAATGTGTTGCTTTCAAGAATAATAATACTTAGTTCTGACGTTTCAACAGAAGCTAGAAAGCAAACGCAATAGAATGACATTTGAAATGTTAAAGGCAGGGGGTTGGGCGGAGCCATTATAGAATTCTGTTTCTAGTGAAAATATTTGTAAAAGTTGATGATAAAGCAAAAACATTTTTCAGACAAAAGCTAATAGAATTCTTAACCAATAATATTTGAAAGTTAGTTTGAATCTTCCAAAAAACAATTGCCAAGACGGAAATTTAAGGATTTTATTAAGAAAATATCTTAAACTGATAAGAAGTCTTAGGAAGCCCATCTGTGAATCCTTGAATCAACGTCAACTGTCAGTTTTCCTGAATGAATCTGTGTCAGTAACCTTGCCACACTTCATCATTGACTTAGGAGGTATGGTCTTGATGCAAATGTGGTGATGGATTTTACAGTAAAACAGCTGGTGTCCTTGTAGTAGGAGTCCTGCAAGGTGCCATCTCATAGTCCCCACAGTTCATCCATTGCACCTCACATATACTTTTCCACATAGACTTTGAAATTTCTTCTCCAGGACTGCTGTCAGCCGAAGAGCGAGGTTAGTGAAATGAGCTACAGACTCCATTGCCATGGTGACGATCTTGGCGTTGCAACTGATCAGCAAGTCTTGGTGGCTGACTTGGGTCTGAACCCTTTATAACCATACTCTTTTCAGTTTAGGGTTTCTGCATGTACCAAATCACAAAAACAAGAGAATACACCTACTCCTCACTTAGCAACAATCTCATTATCCAACATTTTACATTTATAGCAGTAAAAAAATCTACTATCTGACTCTTGCACATTTATGATATATGTCTGACAGTAACAAATTCCAAGGTACAAGGTGAAAGTAACACAGTGATGTTAAGGTTATGCGTTCATTTGACTAAGCCAGGATTTTCAGTGGTTTGAAAGTTATGCAATGATGTCATTTGGCAGTTACGTAATGACGTTTTGTGATCTAATGTAATCATTCTCCATTTTCGCACTTACATGTTGACCTGGTCTTTTAAACCTAACCATGGCAATAAGTGAGAAGTGAGTATACAATGCAAGTCCCTCAGATTTTTCTCCCTGGCACTTAGCTTCCTTTTCAAGCCGTGTCTTCAGAGCCAGAAGTGATTAGAAGGATTAAGTAACATTTTGATGTCAACCTCTGCATTTTTCAGGAGGTACAAGTGGTGGCTATGTGCCATGGTGTCTGTTCCAACTCATAGCAACCCTATTAGAGTTTTTGAGGCTGTAAATCTTTACAGGGGCA